TCACTGTTGTGGCCTCTCCCATTTGCGGAGCACAGGCTCCGGACGCGCAGGCTCAGCGGCCATGGCTCACGGGCCCAGCCGCTCCGCGGCATGTGGGATCTTCCCGAAACGGGGCACGAACCCGCGTCTCCTGCATCAGCAGGCGGACTCTCAAGCACTGCGCCACCAGGGAAGCCCAAAACATAGTGATTTTTAAGTGATCACGACTGATCTCTGAAACCTGTTTATGTATTGAAGTTATGTATCCTTTAAATTAATATCTGAGTATTTGTTATTTCACTCTTGTTTTAATTAACATTTGTTTAGTTATAATTACGTCTTTATGTGAAGAATTTTCATGCTTTAGGTAGTAGATGAGACTGTTTCTTTTTTTTTTAAAATAAATTTATTTATTCATTTTTGGCTGCATTGGGTCTTCGTTGTTGTGCACAGGCTTTCTCTAGTTGCGGCGAGTGGGGGCTACTCTTCGTTGAAGTGTGCGGGCTTCTCATTGCTGTGGCCTCTCTTGTTGCGGAGCATGGGCTCTAGGCGCCGGGCTTCAATAGTTATGGCTCGTGGGCTCAGTAGTTGTGGCTTTTGGGCTCCAGAGTGTGGGCTCAGTAGTTGTGGCGCATGGGCTTAGTTGCTCCGTGGCATGTGGGATCTTCCTGGACCAGAGCTCGAACCCGTGTCCCCTGCACTGGAAGGCTGATTCTTAACCACTGAGCCACCAGGGAAGTCCCGAGACTGTTTCTTTTTAACACTTTATTTGCATTATGTTTGTTGGTAGTTTTATTCACTTAACAGTGTTTATTTCAGTTTTGATTTTTAGAGTTCTCTGGAATCAGATCCTGATGAGTAATCAAGTTATTTTCAAACAATAATGTAAGAAGCACTATATTTTCTAATGTAAATTTTATTTATCATTTATATTAAACCAAATGGTATTATTGTTGGTTTAATCAGTATACCCAGGGCAATGGAATAATGAAATTTGTTACTACAAAGAACTTTAGAGATTATCTAGTATTAATTATTTTTCCCCTTTCATGCCATTCTATTCGCAAGTAAAATACACATCTTTAAAATCTTCCAGGACATTGGTAGAGGCATGCAGAAGCAGGATGACTTTTAACTCTACTCACAATATCCTTGGTCTCTTACCAGGGCTCATATTTTATAGTGTTCCTCTTTAAGGACAGTTCCTCTGTGCTCTTTCTTCCCAAAGTGTTAAGTTAAAATGGTGAGAGAAGGGCTTATTTCTCACTGGCTTATTTCCTGACTTGGGGGAGGGCGAGTTCTATTTATTATTTTTTCAACTGTAGTGTCTTTCTTAGAGAGATAAACATAATGTCATATTTTACCAGTTATGATAGACTTTTTTTTTTTGCGGTACGCGGGCTTCTCACTGTTGTGGCCTCTCCCGTTGTGGAGCACAGGCTCTGGACGCGCAGCCTCAGCGGCCATGGCTCACGGGCCCAGCCGCTCCGCGGCACGTGGGATCTTCCCGGACCGGGGCACGAACCCGCGTCCCCTGCATCGGCAGGTGGACTCTCAACCGCTGCGCCACCAGGGAAGCCCAGACTTTTCACTTTTAAACATCTCTCAAATTGGGATATGTCCCAATTTATTGATTGACGCCTTAGTATTGTTGTTCACCAGATGGCAGTTGTGATGTATCTGTCATTGCCTATGCTTTGTGAACATAGTTGTATCTCTGGTGTCATACAGTTGCAACCCCTTGATGTTTTCAATCAATAAACCATTTAAGAACGTTTTGAAGAAAGAATATGAGTCCTGGCTGTCATCTGAAAGCTTCATTTAGCACCTGTGGTAAGATCAAGACAGTATCAGCATTATAATTGCAAAATGGGAGACAGTGGCTTCAAAGAAAATTTTGGAGACAGTAGTAGAGGGGCACGTTTTAAAGAAATGCTGCATCACCAAAGCTTTTCATGGCTAGAGAATGATATTGTGTGGAAAAACACAGACATTAGATAATTCTGAGTGAAAAAGTGACTCAGGAGTTAAATGTGAAGAAGTGTTTAATTTTTCACGTTTGCACAAGGATAATATACGCTAACAATTTTTGTCTATGTTTATCCAGAAGAGCTCTTAAAAAGGAATAATGTGAAAATTCTAAATGATAAAGTGCCTGGCAGTTTTTCTTCCTTAGTGGAACATAAGATAATGGCACATCTTAAAAGGCTTCGTAGATTTGATAAAATATGGTAGATTAGCATATTATTCTAGAGTGGTAGTTATGACTGATAAAGTTATCTTTTTATCCATACATATTCTGTGAACCCTAAACATTAGGGTTACTTTGTTTTGTAGTAATTAGTATTAATTTTTACCTCTACCTAAGGAAGTAAAATGTAGCAAAATCTAATTAGGAGAATTCCCATATATAGGCTAATACCTGGTTTGTTTATTCTGTCTACCTAAGGAAGTAAAATGTAGCAAAATCTACTTAGGAGAATTCCTATATATAGGCTGATACCTGGTTTGTTTATTCTTTCATCATCATCTCAGAGGTTAGATAATAGATCCCTAAGAAATATCCCATAGACTGACTTTTTTGTATCTTATTGCCTCTGTAAAAATAATACATGTCCATTTAAAAATATAAACAATATGAAAAATATAGAAAAAGTCAAAAGCATGTGAAACTCTGCCATCCCCACTGATGATGTCTTTCCAGATATTTCTTATGTAGCTATCCCTGTGTGAAAATGGATGTGTAGTTTTTGTAAAACTGCATACCTTTTGTGTTTAGTAAGTTACTTTTTTTCCATTCAGTGATATGTTGTGGCTTTTGTCCCATCTTAAGAAATATTAATTGGTTAGTCAAATAATTTTAATGGTTGCATAATTTTCCATTGTAGAAGCATACTGAATGATTTAAGTAGGTTCCCGTTAATGGATATTTAGGTTGATTAAGTCTTCTTTATTGTAAACAGTGCTTTGATGAATATTTTGTGCATGCATTTTTTTTTGTAAAATTATCTCCTTATAAATTATTAAAAATGGGATTTGGACATTTATTTGTTTATTAAAACACTTATTACTAGCTTTTGAAAGTTTGCTATTTTTTCTTTTAAGGTGATAGATTTACTGAAGTGATGATAACATATATAATATTGAAATATCTTTTAAAAACCTCATTAGTATTTTAAGATTTGATTGCTAACTTTAAAAAAATGATCTCGGCTTCTACTACATATTTGGAAACCTTTCATTTCTAATAAATGGAAGTTATTCAATTAAAGAAAATGGAAAAGTTAAAGTACTAAAAACAATGAAAAATAATTAAAGTGATGGAACTATAGGGAAACTGGAAAGGGTAATGATTAAAATAAAGAAAGGGCTTTGGAAACAACCTGGATTTGAATCCTGATTCAGCCTCTTACTAGCTCTACATGACCTCGGGGAAGCCTTTTAATGTCTCTAAATTTATTTATCCTCCTTAAAAGTAGGGATGCTAATATATCATGGGGTCATTTTGAGGATTAAATAATAATAGTAATAATTCCAGATAACATGTTTGAATCTTTTTTACTATGTATGGCAGGCATTGTATTAAATGTTTATATGTATTTTTTTCACTTGGCAAATATTTATTAATTCTCACAAACTCATGAGATATGTTTTATTGATGAGGAAGCTAAAACTAAAAAAGGGAGTTTGTAAGTTGCCCAAGCAACATAGTTAGCAAGTGGCAGAATCAGAATTTGAGCCCTACCAGTCTGACCTAGTAGAGCCTGCAATTTGAAATTCTATTGTATGTGTATATAAAGCACTTAGCACAGTGAATAACATGCATCAGTTAATATTTATGTTTAGGCTATCTTTAAAAAATAAGTATGTCAAGAGAATGAGAAGACGAGCCACTTGGAGAAAATGTTGGCAAAAGATATATCTGATAAAAGACCGTTATTCAAAATATATTAAGAATTCTTAAACCTCAACAATTAGAAAACCTACAGTCTGATTAAAAAATGGCCAGAAGATTTGGACACCTCACTGAAGAAGATATTCAGATGGCCAATAAGCATATGAAAAGATGCTCAATATCATATGTCATTAGGGAGTTGCAAGTTAAAACAAGGAGATACCACTACACACTTATTAGAATGACAAAAATCTATACCAACAGCACCAAATGTTGGCAGGGGTGTGGAGCAACAGGAACTCTCATTCATTGCTGTTGGGAATGCAAAATAGTATAGCCACTTTAGAAGACAGTTTGGCAGTATCTTGCAAAACTACACATACTCTTACCATGTGATCCAGTAATTCTGCTCCTTGGTACTTACTCAAAGCGGTTGAAAACTTAATATCCACACAAAAACCTGCACACAGATGTTTATAGCAGCCTTATTCACAATTGATAAAACTTGGAAACAACCAAGATGTCTTCAGTAGGTGAATGGATAAACAAACTGGCACATCTATATAATTGACTATTATTCAGTGCTAAAACGAAATTAGGTATCAAACCATGAGAAGACATGGAGGAATCTTAAATGCTTGTTACTAAGAGAGAAGCCAATCTGAAAAGGCTACATACTGTATGAAAAACAAAACTATGGAGACAGTAAAAAGATCAGTGGAGGGGTTAGCAAGAAGGGCAGGATGAATAGGCAGCGCATAGAGATTTTTAGGGCAGTGAAACTATTGCGTATGATATTATAATGGTGGATACATATCGTACATTTGTCCAGACCCGTAGAGCACATACCAGGAGTTAATCCTAATGTAAACAGTGGACTTTTGGTAATAATGATGTGTCAGTATAGGTTCATCAGTTGTAACAAATGTACCACTGTGGTGCAGAATGTTGATAGCGGGGGAGGCTGTGCATGTGTAGGGAGGAGAGTACATGGGAACTCTGTGTACTTTCTGCTCAGATTTGCGGGGAGCCTAAAACTACTCTAAAAAATAAAGTTTATTTTAAAAAAATATTTAAAAAGCAAGTATGCGTTATGAGCGTGAACTTCTGATACTTTTGTTTTTAGGCCCAGAATAAAGAGACCAATGTTTTAGCTGCTGCAAAGGTGATTGACACCAAATCTGAAGAAGAACTTGAAGATTACATGGTTGAAATTGATATATTAGCATCTTGTGATCACCCTAATATAGTCAAGCTTCTAGATGCCTTCTATTATGAGAACAATCTTTGGGTAAGTATTTTCTGATAATCTCTAGGAATAACCAAAATGAGTTAATTGTCCTAAAGAGGTTTATAAGTTTTGTAGGCCTATTTTATGTACTACCTCTTCTTTTTAGTCACTTAATGCTACTGGAATGAGAATTGACCTGCTGATGAGAGGGCCATTAACAACATAATTATCCTTAGCTTCAACAGATGTTTTTAAATTTTTTTTAAATTTTTTTTTTGCGGTACGCGGGCCCCTCACTGTTGTGGCCTCTCCCGCTGCGGAGCACGGGCTCCGGAGGCGCAGGCCCAGTGGCCATGGCTCACGAGCCCAGCCGCTCTGCGGCATGCGGGATCTTCCGGGACCGGGGCACGAACCCACGTCCCCTGCATCGGCAGGCGGACTCTCAACCACTGCACCACCAGGGAAGCCCTATTTTTTCTTTTTTAATTGAAGTATAGTTGATTTACTATGTTGTTAGTTTGAAGTGTCTTGTTTGAATTTAAGTGTCTTGATTTAAATTTAAGCATTTACTTAAAATGTTTTAAAGTTTCTTTTGTTTTCTTTGCAATTGTTTATAATTTCTTATACTAAACTTTTGATAAATCATGTAATAAATTATAAAATGCTTACTAGAAATGTTAAATATGGGGTTTGCCAAAAAGTTCATTCAGGTTTTTCCTTACGGAAACTTTTTGGCCAACCCAACATTTATCTTATATATTATCAAGCCCAACTTTAGTGCATGATGTAGTGGCCAAGTCTGTATGTAAAAATTTTATTCATTTTTAGGAAATATTAGGCATAAATAAATATATAAGTAAAGTGTTAATATTTAGTAAAATAACCAGTCAGTCACTTGCTCTGCACCGATACTAATTTAATCAAGAGGACTTTTTGAAATGGAGTTTTAGTTTTTTCTCCTTGAAGGAAGAAACAAAGTGTTACGAAAGAAGAGTAGATTGTACAAGCTGTACCTGATTGGGAATCAAAAGGCCTTTATTTTTTGGTTTTGGTGATGCTAGGCAGGAGCTTGAATAAGTCAATTAACCTTTATGACTTGTTTACTCATCTCTAGGATGAGTAATGATCTCTCTCTCAAATTATTTTTCATATGATATAATGAATTTCCAAACAATTTATTGGCAAGCTCCTGTAAAAAATAAAGTGTTGTTATACAGAGGAGAAAAAAGTGTGAAGCTACACAATTTGTTAAGGTATGTAATTAAAAAAAAATCTATAGTTATTATTAGTGTGGTGCCTTCTAATATAGTTGTTCAGCGTTCTAGCAGAATGTTTCCAGAGATAGTAATGAAAATGAATTCCTAGACAATAAATAGATAAGATCTTTACTTGAGACTGTTACAAAATAAAAAGCTGGACAACTGTGAGGGACAGTTTAGTGGGAGAGATAGACATTAATTAATCAAAGAATCATAATAAATATAAAATTAAAACTGTGATAAGGGTTAAGAAGGAAAGGTGCATGGTGGTATGTACCAGGGAGGTCTGGGAAGGCATCCATCAGGAAGTGATAATTGAGCTAGGATCTGAAGCTTTTGTATATGTTTTTTCTCCTATTTTTTAGAAAAACGAAAAGTTTCTCTTTTCAGGGTTTATTCCTAGAAATAAAGTTAAAAAATATACTTGATCACTTGCTTCTCAATAGTTACCTTAAAAAGGAGAGTATAAAATCTTTCAGTTGTGATGAAATGGATATATAATACTGTCCTGAATAAAAATTCTACACCTGGTAATTTTACAGAAGCAGGGACACTAAAAATGAAGGTTAACAAAAATGCACATATTTCCACAATGTGTTTTCTTTGTGCTTTCTTAGTTGTATATCATTAAGACTTGTAACTCTTTTTATAAAGAAAATCTTTATGGTTGTTAGCATACTATTGTTTCTGTAACCTAGGTTATTTTATAGCTATTTCTTTATCTTTTATGCTAAATTGAAGAAAAAATACTCAAACTCAATGTCATGTTAGACACATGCTTTTTTATTTGCCTGCAGATCCTCATTGAATTTTGTGCAGGTGGAGCAGTGGATGCTGTGATGCTTGGTAAATGGTTTTTTGTTCTTCATGTTTATATCTTAAATTATACTTAAAAAAAGTCAAATGATTTCAAACATTTATACATATATATTTATCTTACAGTTTAGAGACATTCAGTAAAGAAATCAGCCTAATTATTTTTATATTCTTGGATAATTGTAATAAAATTCTAAAATTAAACATTGAGTATAATATGTGAAGAAAGTTTTGTGTATAGTTTTTTAAAAATCAATTCATTGTGTGTGATCTTTGACAGTGATGGTAAAGTTATATAGCCTGCTGATATGCTTTCACTGTACAAAAATGCAGATTTGTTTACTTTTTTCATTGTAGAGCTTGAGAGACCATTAACTGAGTCCCAAATACAAGTAGTTTGTAAGCAGACTTTAGAGGCATTGAACTACTTACATGATAATAAAATCATCCACAGAGATCTAAAGGCTGGAAATATTCTTTTTACCTTAGATGGAGATATTAAGTTGGGTAAGTTTATTCCTTTATATAAAACATTTGAATGTGTGCTTTGAGCTTTCCCCCGTATGTCTGTAACTTAATATTGTTTTGTTACAAGTCAAATATGTGAAACATGGAGAATTGTATTCAAATATGTGAAACATGGAGAATTACTCGGTGTTAATTTTTTCCCCCCGTTTATTTAGGTCTTCTTTAATATCTTTCAACAGTGTTGTATAGTTTTCAGAGTACAGGTCTTTCAATTCCTGTATGCTTTTATTTATTTATTTTAAACATCTTTATTGGAGTATAATTGCTTTACAATGGTGTGTTAGTTTCTGCTTTATAACAAAGTGAATCAGCTATACATAGACATATATCCCTATATCTCCTCAGTGTTAATTTTTAAGATACTTCCTTGGAGGGAATTCCCTGGCGGTCCAGTGGTGAGGACTCGGCGCTTTCACTGCTGAGGGCCCGGGTTCAATTCCTGGTCAGGGAACTAAGATCCCATACACCATGCAGTGTGGACAAAAAAAAAAACAAAACAAAACTTCCTTGGATACATAATTATTCATTAACTCCCAGAATTCCTAAGTCTAGGCACCTCATATAAAGACTCTTTAAGGGCTTCCCTGGTGGCGCAGTGCTTGAGAGTCCGCCTGCCGATGCAGGAGACGCGGG